TTATAAACACCACTATAGTCTATATAAACTAATAACACAGTTATTATGCTGGTTTACACAACAAATATCTTAATGGAAACAGATTCTTCAGTGGCAGAAAAGAATCTTTAAGAGGATGCAAATAAATTATTGTTGAATAAACACAGAAAACAAATGTAGAGTTGATGTAAAAACAAAACCTCCTTCATTAGGAATATATTAATTCGTCAATGGGAGCCTAAAAAGTAATTTTCAACCAAATAAATATTAAGAATATGAATTTAATTGCCCAAATTTCAATATGAACATAACATTAAAAAACAATTATTGGATACATTTCTGCTGCATAATTAGCAAGGATTATACTAAAGGAAACTTTTTTTTCACAATTATTATCTTATTTACTGTTTGTGAGCAGCATAAAAATGTTATTATAAGGTATATACAAGAGCTGAAAAATGTTAAAATTATTATTTTAATCGTAAATCAATAATTTAGTAATCTAATGATTATTAACTGAAGTATACAGACAAGTCACTGTCTGTGTATATGTACATATATATATTTAACTATATATATTAAATATATAGTTTAGTTATAGTGTAAGCTAAAATAAATAGCAGTAGAATGTGTCTTTATTCCATTAATCAATTTGTCAAGAGAAAATTACAGACAGAATACTCAATAACTAAAATAACAGAAACTTGTGGCCGCGACATATTCCCCTATTTTAGTAGCTTACGTAGAGCTTTGAAATTTGGAATAAGATCATAAAAGAAACCACTGCAGTTAGCTTTACAAAAAAAAAAAAAAAAGGAGAAGTAATTTAGCTCTGAAAAGTCTCTTTTTTTAAAAGGTCTGAGAATATAGAAAACCACAAGAATCGGTTTTAGGTCCCTTAAGTTTTTTAGCTCTATTTAACAAAAAAAAACAACAACCCTTTTTTGGTTATTATAAAACCCCACAAACCAAGTCATACATCTCAGGATTAAATTGGATATTCTAAATTTCAATAAAGTTTTGAAACTTAAAAAAAAAACAATTTATGAGTAGATAAACACTACCAGAGTCTCTAATTTCTTTAAATACTGAAATATTTCTATAGCTAAAGCTAAATAGAGCTAAAAACTGTATAGCTAACTACATACATATATAGTTTTACTAGTTGATCATTTCAAAAATCTGTAAATGACTAAAAATGTCATTACCACATCAATAATAATAGAAACCTTAGAAAATGATAAAGTCAATACTTTCCCCATATGCAATAATAAAAAATTGTCAGTGAAGACTTTATGGATGATTTAAATTTTTATTACTTCATATTATATCCTTTTTTTTTTCTTAGTGGTTTATTTATAAAATGAGCCACAATCCGACATATAAAAACAATATTGATACATATCTGAATGAAACAAAATGAATCAAAAAGATAATTAAATATTGTGTATGCATTATACATTGAAATGGCTCTGGTTTTCCCATGTGCGGTGAACAATAGCTAAATTAGATACATGTATGTAAGCACTTAGAATAAATGTTTAATTCAACATTAGTATTAAATCATATCAGATATTTAGCTTGGTGGGGTTAAAGTTTCTTTTAAAAAAATCAAGCAAATAAATAAGTACCTTATCAAACCATAGTATTGTTAACCTTTCACTATAGTAGCAAGTTATTTTTGAAATGCTAAAGCTACAAAATAACTAAGAATAAACGGATGTAGGTTGTAATAGCAATGTTGGCAAAAAAAAAAGGGACCTTCAGAGCAAGTGGATGCAGGATCAGACCCAATTAACCGACATCAGAGAAGTTGCTACCCCCAAACATGGCAGAAGATAATTGAAAATAGTGATAAAATTGATCTAAAAAGATCAGAACTGATTATTAAAACAGAGGGCTAACTTATAAATATCGCCATAAAAAGATAATGATGGTAAAAAATAAATAAAAACATTTCTGAACATAAACAAAGAAGGCGCCTCTTCTATCATGATTAAAAACAGCCCTGAGATAAAAATAAGGAGTGGGCTTTTTCAGGTCCAGCTGAGAGCTACTATGCAGCCAAAACCAAAACAGCAACTGTTAAGTTAGGAACATCACTCCCTTATCGGTAAACGAAACCCAACAGCTTCTTTGGTTAAAGGCAAATTTCACCACCAACATTCGAACGGCAAGTGATGCAAACAACAACAAGCTTTTATAACAAGCTCCCACTCAGAAGCCCGACGCTTGTTAAAAGAGGGCTACACTGAAGCTGAAAAGATGCGCAGAATTGATCTGATCTGCCTCCAAGCTCAATAAAGCCACAGAGAAAGGAGAGACAGACGCTTCCACAAACAATAACATGACCCTTTCATTGCTTATTCAACTTACTTGCACTGGAGGAAATATATTGAATTATCGGGAAGATGTGATGAAGGCGTATTTATTCAAACGTAGGTCGACAAAAGCAGAAATCTGCACTGACCACTGGATTCTCTTGTCTCTAGCAGCGCTTAGGACCCAGCTTGAACATGACTTAAGGGATGCCCTTAGAAAATTCATGTTTCAGATAGTTTTTACAACTTCCTTCACGAGAAACATGAGTTATTACAGCTAAAATGTGCCTTTTACACCCTGATCAGGCAATAATAGGCTTTGAGGTTTAAGTATTTTTCAGCATTTCTTTGCACATTTTTTCTCCAGGGAAATCTCTTAAGAGAGAATGTGGCAGCAACACTGCCAGCGGTGGGGATTTAGATTATATCCCACAGAGAAATTTAGATTCTGAGAATATGGATGCTTGCTTTACTCTAAGGAGAATTAAATCAAACACATCCATAAAAAAAAAATGGATGAAACTGATGAACAGGAAGCTTAAACAAGCTTCATTGTTTCAATTCTCTGTTGTTCTCTGCTATTTGTTTCCATGCAAAACTCCATTTATGGAGGATATTTCTGCAGTGGTAAGGTTACAAGGATAAAAGCCATAAAGGGTGGATGGATGACAATGATTATCTGCAACCGTCTAGCTATTGCAATGACTCCAAAGTCCAAATACAGCCCAGATGAGCAGCAAACTATGCAGGCAGAATTTGGAGCCAGCGATGCCCTGAGGCAGCCAGGCTGCTCCTCCCTTCTGTGTGTAGATGTTAAAGCTTTAGAGCTGCTCAGCTGTGCAGGTCAAGCGCGAAAGCTAAGCCCTCTGTGAATATACACAAAAACAAATACGACGCTTCTTTGGGTAACAAAACATTTAGACTCAAAATCCCAGTGGGGAAACGAATGTGCTGGTGAGGATGTGCAACAAAAGAAGGAAATGCATCAAGTATCATAAAGCTATCTAGACAGAGCGGGCTCTTTAAGGTGATCCATTCAGTTGACATTTAATATGCAATAGTAATTTATGTAAACTAAAAAGCAGTAAGTTATCTAAAGCATTATTTAGTTTAATGTTATTTAAAAAAGGAAGTCGGAAGTTTATGATATAAAAAATAGTTTGTTTTGCAGGGAGATGCAGAGTGTTTACATGTGCATGAGTGCGGTTAAGACCCGCTGCCAAGAGTAGAAGGGGCTGCAGGGGGGCAGGAGCGGGGACAGAACAACGGTGGTTGCCAGGAGTTTATTTGAGAGTGTGCCTCACAATAGCGCTGACCTCCTTCTGCTCAGAAACAGAAAGTGAGGATGTGTGCGACTCTGCCGTCCAGACTCTGTTTGTGTATGTGTTTATTCAGCGTGACCGTGTGCGTAACGCCCTCCTCCCCTCCGCTAGCTTCCCCCTCTAAGATCAGCTCACGGACAGATGCAAGAGCGCCCTGTGGCGCCACTACCAAGAGGTTGGAGAAGGATGGTTGGAGACAAAGTAGTAGATGCAAAATAATCATTTCAACGTCACTAACTGCATTAAAATATATTTTACTACAATACCAACTAAATAAAATCCAGCCCTGCCAACTGATAATGAAAACATCCCCAGTTCTCAACATCTAACTGAGCAATTTTCAGGTTAAATTGACAGGTCAGCACAGATTATTAATCAGAGAGGCAGCTCAAAGGTCCACTGTTACTTCTGAGGAGATCCACAGCTCAGGTGGAAAAGAATAAAAAACAATAATCTTGCCATTTATGGAGAAATATACATCTCTCACCACTTTAAATGCATCATCCAAATACAGAAATTCGGTGGTGGCAGCATCATGCTGTGGGAGCTTTATTGATAAGCGGGATCAGGAAAGCTGACTAAGTCCTCCTTCCAATCCTGAAGAGTGATTCTAGAAAGTGTAAATGCCTGAAACTTATAGACTTATAGCCCAGAGAAAGAACGAACCAAAAAGTAATCAAAAGGTAAACAGAGCTGAATTCTAACTGATCTTTAGCCGTTTCTTTTTTTGAAAGATGGTTAAAAATGTCTCTGGATGTTCCGGTAGAGACATCCCTTATTAACTAGATACGTAGAAGTTTGTGGCTACAGGAAGCAAGGAAGCAAACCTAATAAATGCTCCAACAAGGTTTGTTTAATGACGGCTGGAAAAACCACATATATCGTCTCAAGAACATGGATCATTAATTATCAAATGGTATCAGGAACAAATACACAGATCTAGCTGAGAGCTAGTTGCTTACTTCCTCTTTAAACATTATTTTCCATCCACATGTTTGCTTCTGATTTTTCCAGTTGAAGTATTAAAATACTTTCCGGCAGATTAGCCGAAAGAACCGCTGTAATGATTAAAGCCCCATTGAAAAACAAACCGATTAGCTAGTTTGATAGAGATAAAACACTTGTTTATAAAACCAGCTGTAAATTATTTAGTGTTTCTCACCTTTAATGAGGCGGCTGTCGACTATTAGAGAGAATAAATGAGTGGCGCTCTGAGTGCTTACGTTAACGACAGGTTGGAGTGATAATCACCAGTTATTGTATTAATCTGGGTGCGAGTGTGGACGTCTCTGTAAGCTGTGGCGCGAAAATACGCTGATGATGATGTTAATGTCTAGGTAAATTTTATGATTTTAGACTTTATTATCTTTTTTCTTACCGTAATGTGTGAGGATGCCCTGAGGAGTCACCACTTTACTGCAGACATGGCAGACAACGAGACAAAAATCCTCCAAAGCAGGGAAGTGGGTGCGGATAAGCATCTCTGAAACAGACAGCGAAAGGAGAAGCTGTGTTTACATTATTAATTAAAAAAAAATAATGTAGTATATCAACACAAGGACTCGGAAATCGACTTACACATAATCCAGATAAAAGATTCTCCATAAAAAAAAAAAACAAGATAACAAATAGCACAAAAAAGTTTAACACTTTTAAAAAATATATTTTTAGAGTAATAAAAAGTTGAAGGGAAAAGATGAGAGCAAATCAGACTTAACCCCAGTTTACAATACCAGAGCATGACACAGCCACTACCATACAAAACCACAGACAAAGGATGTTTATTTTAATGTAGAACAAAACATCAAAAATGTTTTTTTCTTCTTGCCACATTTCCATTTAGGTCAGATTGTTGGGTTGAAGAAGTCTACAACTGGAGCGAATGTTTCCTCCCTCTTACTCATTAAGAAATTAGTACACATTTCTTAAAATAAGTTTATTTAACCTTAATTTGAATATGAAAATACGATTATCTGCCAATGGAATGAGCATTCTTACCATTAAAATAAGATAATTAATTATTATGCACTTGCTTTTTTCTTAATCTAAATGTAAATTGTCTTGTTCTATTGGCAGTGACTGACTTATCTGCTCAATTCAAGACAAAATGCACTTAATTTTTGACAAAAAATGACTTCAAGTTACAATTTTGCAGTGCATAAGATTAAATCCTTAAAAAGAGGGAAGAATGTAATTTTTTTCTGTTTATTTAAAACCAAAAGACTTTGGTCAGGCTCTTCAGCGTTAGTGGGAAACCTGGACCCGTTACCTCAGTGGATGGAAGAATATTTTCATAATCATGTTCAGTTCAGGTTGCCATGTCTCCTTTCCACCATTAATAAAAGAACACGCTTCATCTTTCTTTGTTGGAGAGATAAGGGTTATGATGCACAATCGATGTTCACAGGGTTCCTTTACATCACACACTTTAAATATGTATCTATCAAGGTGAAAGAGGAAGACAAATATCTGTGTCATCCTTCAACAGCTGATGGAGAAATAACTAAAAAACCAAGAAGGGATGGCATTTAGAGCAGATTCTATTGATGGAAAAAGGTCAGATTCCTTCCATCTTTCAGCGACAGGTTGCATTTGTTCAATAAGTCAGTTGTTGATGCCACACTTTCCTCTGAAGCCACCTGCAGACATAGCAGCATCACAGCCCCTGGCTCCAGGGAACAAACTGATAAAACAAACGGTGCCGATGGCTGTTCTAGAACCCCCCGCAGCAGTGTTTCCAAAGAAGAAAGCAGCACCAGTAACCACACACTTTGTGGGCTTTCACTTGCCCACAGATGATCAGCATTTAAGCACATTTTTTAAAATAATATGCATCACTACACATGTCGATTTTCAACCCACTTATCAGTGCATTAAAACCAACCCATTGGAATAACCAATTTGGATCCATTTAATTCCTACAAGAAGAAATAAAATGAAGAAATGACAAAGAATGATGAAAGCACAATTTCTACTGCACCTTTTCCTGCCTTTTAGTAAGTAATTAATATTTTAATATTTAATATTAATATTTTAGTTGTCTGTTTGTTCCTATCATAGAAATTACTTCTGATCTCTTGCTTCAGTGTTGAGTCGTTTTTCTTTTTTGGACAGAGCCAAAATTGAATTATTGCCACCATTACTCTTTTTGTGCTCTTTTTTGGTGATAGACGACTCTGTATTAAGCTTTATTTATTTCCTAGGTGGAACTATTAACGGAAACATTACCATTATTGACTCAATGAACTTTGTTTTTCCCCAACAGAAGCTTAAAATTGCTTCTGTGTTTAGCTGTGTCTTATTCTCACAAAGAGACCTTGACATTAATTGCTTTGTTTCTTTTTCCATAGAAAGTACTCCAGGCAAACAGTTTTTTTCTACATTTTTTCCTTTGTTGAGGCATTAGCTTAGTGTTTGCAATTTTTAGGTTCATTTGGAATACAAAACTGACTCATCAAAGCTTGTGTTGAGCCATGTCTCTTCCTTGAAGGAAGCCTCAACAGAAGAGTCTCTGCAATTAACTTTGAATACTCGTTTCGCTTTGCTTTGCTCTACAAAGCACACCCGACCAAATTGATTGGATAGCTAAAGCCGGGCATACTATGTACGATTTTTTGCCCTTTTCGGTCCGATTCTCCAGTCGTGAGAGAATTTTTTGATCGGGCCGACATTCAGCCTGATCGTGCGTCATGTAGTGTACAGGGAACAACGAGGGGCAATCAGCCTCTCATGACGACCTCCGGATCAAGAACCGTAAGGTCGGGAGAAAATCAAACATGTTTGAAATTCACTCGGCCGCCGCATGGTCACATCGGAGCGTCAGGCCGCACGGTGTGAGAACATATTTCGTGAGCTGTGAACATTTAAATCCAGCGGTATCGTCGTACAGTTTGAGCTATAGCTGAGTACAATGACTGAAAATATTGCAGTGTATCCCTGTTTTAAGTCATCAAGGACTGCTCAGCTAAGCCATCATGAGTCTTTCAATTAAAAAGTTTCCAGAACTTACATTATTTACTTCTACTGGATGAATAGAAAAGCCAAGATAAATCATAGATAAGTGATTGATTACAGTCTTCTTATCTCAAGGAGAAACAGCTGGGAAACAATTTGTCCTCTGAAAGGCAGGCTACAAGTTTAAACTGCTCTAAGAGGAGCACAGTCTACTTATCCCCGCAGCTAAAAGAGACACCCTCACCCACTCAACTAAAACACCAGCTTGTATTAAATACAGAAGAAAAAAACCCAAATATAGTCATTTGAAAGCAGCTATTTTTCTCGTCTGGCTAATCTTCCCAAAACCTAAACAAGCTCCGCTGTCAGAAATCACAGCACTTATTAGCACAGGCCTTAAGCAACACTCACAGGGAGGAGGTGGGACGTGTACGGATCCCAGTAAGCATGCAGGAAGGAGGAGGAGGAGGAGAGAAGAAAATGCTTAAGAGATATGTGCGGGTGCCTGACTGTTCATGTTGTGATGACCCCACATTGCTGGCGAGTCTCCTGTCATCCTGACAGTCGGGAGTCATGCACAGTATCTGTTTGCAAGGCTAGCTCAGACTCCTCTGGATTAGACTGGACCATGCTGCTGGATGCATGTATGGAATGTTCACGTGATGCCAATCTTTACGAGCATGCGAACTAAAGCACTGCTGCGACTGAGGATGGTCAGTAGGACATTTTCCATGACTGTAGCAGCCTTAATGCTACATTAAGAGCTATTGGGAGTAAATAATTTAAAGGACTACACATTTAATCGAAGCAGCTCGATGGAACTGATGCAACCATGAAATGAAATGAGTGAGGCTCTGTGCTTTAACAGCATAGTACACCTACCTTTGCTTATTTTCCACTAGATGAAGTCATCCAGTATTTTTTCAGGCACACCTTGAATGTCTAGGGTTATTTTCTCTTTAATACTGCCTATATTCTTTAAAGCAGGGGTCTTAAATGTTTTCCAGGCCTAGGACCCCCAAACTGATGGCGAGATGGAGCGGGGACCCCCTAATTATATATACCGTATGAAATTGTGTTATATCAAACTGGTCCTATAGTCACTCTATTACATATGGAGTAATACTAAAGTAAACGAAAGTAATTTCTCCTTGGGATTATTTAAGTATTTCTGATTCTGATTCCTGGTAGATCGGACAGGTGTTGTGAATGAAACGGTGCCCAGCTTGAAAGAGCTCCTGTGTGTCGCTGAATGTGTGCATTGATGACTGAAAGACGTCTTCTTCCTCCATTTATCTGTTTACTACAGTGTTTTGAATTCATGTTACTGTGTATTTAAAGACATTTCAATTAGTGGAAAAATTGCAGGGGGGAATATAAAAAAAAAACATTCACGACCCCCATGCAGTACCTTCGTGGACCCCCTACTGAAGACCTCCGCTTTAAAGCGTAGCTCAGACAAGGGCCCAATCCCAAACCGTTCTCTAAACACTAACCGTGAGCACTAACCCTCTGTTTGCGCATTCCCTCGGAGGGTCCGCCACATTAAGTGCGATCCCAAATCATGTAGTGGGTAGGGCGAACGGACCGTTCAGACCTTAAATAGCAGCGGTCTGGTGGCCTAGGAAACGCATTCCACCAAATGTAAATTCCACTGGTTTGCTGCATCTTCGTGACACTGACAGAAAAAAAGTTGGTATATGAAAAAAACGTATTTAAAAGGTCCTCTTTGAAATAGTTTTATTTGACCATATACGTTTCTTTTAAACAAGGGGCAAGTGTTTGATTTTATGCTAACCTGCGCCATAGAGCTACAGCCACGCACATTGGGCATCACTGTGTTGCCATAGCAATGACTGCTTTCCTTTTCCATTGGAGGGAAAAAGCCATCACATTCTCGTTTATACCCCCAAGCCTCCCCCCCTTCAATAAAGGTGCCTTCCACTGGTGCAAGTGAGACTTCATTGGAAGTGACACTGGATAGTTAAGGGTTAGTGATTAGGGACCAGTATGAGATTGGGCCAAAGTGCTAAAAAGGTTATTCAGACCAGGTCATCTGGTACCAAGAAAAACGCTACGGTCAAAGCTTTGCTTAAGTTTATAATTTAATCTTTACCACATCTAGATTCTTGGAAATCCTAAGATATAAATGCGTCATTTTCGATTTATGTAAACATGCAATTCAACCTGCTGACTCAATGCTGCTGGTTAATGCATACTTTTACACATCAAGGGGAATCTCCAGCATCTGAAACGTTAATTTCCTCTTGCCATCTTACCAATGCATGTGCGCGGATGTTGTTTCTTCAGGTATAACAGCAGATACTGTGTGATTAAGTTCTCAAAAGAACACCTTCGCACATCTGAACACCTCCACACACAAAATGTCTTTTCTCGCAGAAAGGACACGCTGACACCGAATAATGGACTTGAGAAAGCTGAGCGACAGGCCCATGACAAAGTGAAGAAAAGAACCAGACTGTAGAATAAAAGAAAGATCTGAGAAACTGATTTTAAAACTGGAAATTA